AAAAAGAGAAAACTTATTATTACCTGGGATTCGCTATCAGATGTATGATCAGGTTCTTTCGATTCAATAACCGCAATAACTTTGTCAGAATCACATGGAATATAAGTCTTGATAAAAAAGAATAAATATAAATAAATACATGGATTTGCGAAGAAGCAAATGAAATAAATAAATACCGTTCCGACTCTATCATCAACTCTTTGAATTAAATTCGGAAACTTGTAAGGAGCAAATTTGCTTGAGGTAATGTCATGTAATCCTTCAAAACTTGGTAATTCAGTATTAACTTCGATGATAATCTTAGAAGCGGATTGGACAATTTCAGGAGTGGCACCAACTGAAGCGCCAGGAATGATATGTCCTTTTTCTGTAATTGCAGTTGCTTCAACGATTGCTACATCTAGCTTTTCCATATTATCACCCTATTTATATAAAAATAGATTAAAAAATAGATTTCTAACAATTTAAACAAAAAATTGTGAATTTACCCTCTTATCGAGCGTATAATAACCAGATACTAAATCCTTGTATTAAAAAAAAATATAAAATTTAGCTAAAATTAATAATGCCATTAATAACCGCAAAGAAAAGGATTATTCAAAAATTATGTACCAAAGGAAATTCTGAAAGATGTTTATCCGCGAATTTTATATGATTTTTATTAATTTCATTTCGAATTACTCTACCAAGCTGATATGGATAACGACGTGCTATCATTCCATTCTAATATAAACATGATAAAATTTTTTATAAATTTTATACGAATGATATGATAAGAAATAACTAATTACCTTTGCCCATCTTTAAATTTGATTCGAAAAAATGAACAAAAAGCAGAGTGATAATGTTAATATATTTTTTTAGTAAAGAAGATCTTCAAAAGTCTGAGTCTCGACTGGGCTGGAATTGATAAATTTGCATTAAGAAAAATGCATTTCGACCCGGAATTTTCACAGTCATGTGTTATAGCTAAATTTATAAATGTTGCCTGAAGTTTCCACTTTGGGATTTTGTACTGATGTACGTACGTAC